ATGCTATTGAGGTTTTTACATATATAAAAATAATGGTAGCAAATAGGTGTCAACGCGATCTAGCCTAGGTGTCAACCGGCGCACGCCACCAGGTACACAACATTACAGTCGACCAGTGTACGAGGATAACATTGCGAAGGCCACAAATAAAAGCAGCTTTAACTACTATTTCCAGTGCTTTTTGTTTACTATTCATTCAAGTGTTTATATCAAAAAGTTCGTTCAGTCGTTTGCATAGAATCGATGTTTGCTCTTCACACACTAGATGGGAAACGTGACAGCACGATATATGGGTCTCATATGAACAAACATGGTGGCTTTGACTGTAGCCCATGCCAATGAGTACAAACTGAGACGTTACCAAGCTATAATCAGATAATTTCTTTGTTGATTAGAAGGAATGGAATAGGTCACCGGCGGTAATTAACTCACTTCGCACCAAGGTCAAAACTCTTACTTGTGATTTTCATGAGAAGAGTGCCTTGAATTATGGGAAATTAATGTTAATCAACACCTATGTCGCACATGCACAGTGCAATGACCACTGCCCTTTAAGCCTAGATTATATCTGATACTATTTGAGGGCTTTTTGGGAGATTCATCATTTCTGATTACATCATTCATTATTTGTCTGTCTTAATATAATTGTTTGTAGGTACTATGTACTTGCGATGGAATTTGAAACTTACTATCCCATGACACCACAGAAACCATGGTGGATACACGCATTCTATGAACAAATTAAGGAACTGAAACCAAAAAGACTACCGCTCACTGAGAATCATATGCACGAACAATTTAAGAAGCGATATGGGGTCAAGAAGGCTATTAAATTCAAGGTATGTAAATAGCAGTATTTACTCTCGACATTTGGTAAACATTGTCAAAACTTTAAAATTAATATATTTCAAACAAACACGAGGAGACCCAGTCAAGTAGAAATGCTACTTAAAAAAGCAGTAAGTTTAGATCAGAGGGCCAGATATGTATTATTGTTATTTGGAATGGTACAAATACCAGACTATAACAATCATATGCTTTCAGGCTTGTGCCAGTTGTATTGTACGGTAAATAGATAATAGGACACTGGACTGAGAAGCAACTGGCAATTACCTGCTCTTGAGACATTAACCATGTTTTTAAGTTTGCAACAATTGATTTTTTTATTGCAGAATCTGCAAGCCGGGTTGAAGATATGCGCTACAAGGGGACTAGTTTCTATGCTTCAGACTCTTGTACGCAAGACACCAGGTTCTCGTCTCAGTAAACAGGATGAAAATGGATTGTCGTTGATGCATCATGCAGCCATGCAAAACCGGCCACAGATTATATCATTATTGGCAATACAGGGACAAGATATTAACACAAGAAGAAATAATAACATTTCTTCTACAGGTATAAAGGACATTATTGTTGTATTGGGATTGTAAGGTGGATATGTTTTTATTGACTTGGTGGTTGTGAGGTGGATGTATTTGTATTGGTTTGGTGATCATAAGGTGGATATGTTTTTATTGACTTGGTGGTTGTGAGGTGGATATATTTGTATTGGCTTGGTGATCATAAGGTGGATATGTTTTTATTGACTTGGTGGTTGTGAGTGAATATATTTGTATTGGCTTGGTAGCTGCAAGGTCAATATTTTTGTATTGGCTTGATGGTTGTGAGGTGGATATTTTTGTATTGGCTTGGTGGTTGTGAGGTGGATATTTTTGTATTGGCTTAGTGATTGTGAGGTGGATATTTTTGTATTGGCTTGGTGATTGTGAGGTGGATATTTTTGTATTGGCTTGATGGTTGTGAGGTGGATATTTTTGAATTGGCTTGGTGATTGTGAGGTGGATATTTTTGTATTGGCTTAGTGATTGTGAGGTGGATATTTTTGTATTGGCTTGGTGATTGTGAGGTGGATATTTTTGTATTGGCTTGGTGATTGTGAGGTGGATATTTTTGTATTAGCTTGATGGCTGTGAGGGGGATATTTTTGAATTGGCTTGGTGATTGTGAGGTGGATATTTTTGTATTGGCTTAGTGATTGTGAGGTGGATATTTTTGTATTGGCTTGGTGATTGTGAGGTGGATATTTTTGTATTGGTTTGATGGTTGTGAGGGGAATATGTTTGTAATGTCTTGGTGACTGTGAGGTGGATATTTTTGTATTGGCTTTGTGATTGTGAGGTGGATATTTTTGTATTGGTTTGATAGTTGTGAGGTGGATATTTTTGTATTGGTTTGATAGTTGTGAGGTGAATATTTTTGTAATTGCTTGGTGGTTTTGAGGTAGATATGTTTGTTTTGGCATGGTGGTAGTGAGGTGTATATATACATGCAGTTGTATTGTCCTGCTGAGTGGTTGTAATGTGAATATAGTCGTATTGGCTTGGTCGTATTGGCTTGGTTTGATACTTGGTTTGATACTTGGTTTGATACTTGGTTTGATACTTGGTTTGATACTTGGTTTGATACTTGGTTTGATACTTA